CATACATACATACATTCATACTGAATACGTGTGTGTGTGTGTGTGTGTGTTGAACATATATGGATCAAGCTGAAATCCAATCACCTATAGTTTCTACCATGTGACACCAATAGAAAGAAAAGAAAAGAACTTTCTCACCAGGTATAATGGCACCTGCATGTACTCCTGACACTGGAGGGAACTGAGGCAGTATCAAGTTTGAGGTCAGCCTAGGCAACAGCAAGACCCTGTGTCCTAAGAGCCAAAGGAAAACAGACACTTTTCTCCTACACAGATTGTAGGGAAGCAGCTACATGCCTCTAAACCTTTGTTGGTTACCCTTATGGCAGATAATCAGACATCTAGCTCTCTGGTCACCCAACTCTAGAGGACCTTCTCTCTCTCCAACTTTCCTCAAGTTTGGGTTCCAGATATAAGCCTAGGGACCCAATCTTAGCTCTGCCAGGAGCATGGCTCCAACCTCACAACATGCAAAAAAGAGCATCTCATGTGTGACTGGGGTGAAGAAGCACTGCCTAGATCTATCACCACAAATGCTGGTGGCTGCACAAATGGAATGTGGGCATGAAGGGTAGAGGTGACATGACAGCGTCAGGAGAAGCCACAGCCTAGCACTTGGATGGGTACATCTGTCTCTTGGTTTTTAGTTTCTGTCTTGACTTTCTTTAACATGGAATATAATATAACTTTAGTTACATGGCTGGGATAGCTGAGCCCATGTTTTCAGGTTTGCATTTTATCAAGGTTGGTTTTGTTTGTTTGTTTGTTTGTTTGTTTTTGAGATAGGATTTCATGTAGCCCAGGCTGATCTTGAACTCATGATCATCTCAAGTTTTTTGTTAGTTTATTTTGTTTTTTGGTTGTTTGATAGGATCTCACTCTGTAGCCCTGGCTGGCCTCAAATTCCAGTAGTCCTGACTCTCAGCCTTTCAAATGCTTCGATAGCAGGCATGAGCCACTGCACTGGCTCACAGCTGTGTCAAGCACACCACTTGTCTAACTGATACTGCTGTAGTATGGCTTCTTTCTCACTAACACTGCTCCCATCTTACATTGTGGCAGCTACTTGTTTATTTAAAATTTTAACCTTTAAAACTGAGTAAATGTCAGGCTAACAGCTTAGGTGTGCTCTAACAACGAGCTTCCTGATCCTGAACTTGAGGACTAGCCAGGTTATAACCACAGTGTCTGTGTGTGAGGACTGCCTTCATGAAGCAGATAGACAGATTGGAATGTGTGTTCTGTTTGCAGGCACCCTCCCCACCAAAGGATCTGCCCTTAAAAGGAAAGTAGAGCAAACTATTCTCCACTGGGCCAACACAGGCCCCCTTGGGTAAATCTGTCTACCCTATTTGATAATATTATCACAGGATTATAATGGTATCTGCATCACAAGAGATTGGGGCTCAAAGGAGATGAAATATTGGGTTGGAAACTGGAGCCACATTCTTTCTACTGTGTCATTGTTCATGTTAAGGAGGGTGTCATCTCTGTTGGATCTCATTATATGAAGGTTACTTCAGAGTTCCAGCCTTTCCACCTGTTCAAATCCTTCATCTGCGTGCTTCCATGCCTTGTATTTACTAAGTTAGAGAAACTTTCTCTGTGTGATGAGATGCAGAACACTTAGAATACAGTTGCTCCATCTTGAAATAATTTACTATTTTAAATAGCAGGTCAGACATACACACACCAGAGGCCAGTTGATCCTGTGCCCTTGGTTTTGTTCGCTAGAAATGGAGAAAGTGGCTTCAGTGTATCTGACAAATATTCACTCATGTAGGAGACATAAGGGCAATTTTAAATTTTTTTTGAGAAATATTCCATTCCTAGTTTATTCTGCATTTTTTTTTATTTTGCAGTACAATTCAGTTCTACATATCAGCCACGGATTCCCTTGTTCTCCCCCCTCCGGCTCCCCTCACCTTCCCCCCAGCTCACCCCCTATTCCCACCGAAACAATTTTTTTTTTTACCTGGTGACCAGATTTTCTGGTCATCTGTAATGCCAGCCTCACCCACAGGGCCCATGGTCTGTGATAATCAAGATACTACTCTTACTTGATCCAGGACATTTCACAGATGACCTTGGGTTCCTAGGTGTCTGTTTCCCCATAGTGGAAGAGTGTTTGTTTGGTTTTAGGCAATCACAGAACTGTATGCTTGTCTAACTCTCCTGAATAATGAGTCCTTGGCATTTGTAAATCAAGCAGTTATTTTCGTGAATGAAGATGAACTTTTTCAGTTCAATACAGACTATACAAACTGTTCAGAACCACAGAACACTTGACATTTGGATATCCTTCTCCTCTCTGTGAGTTTTACTCCAGACTTTGGGAAGTTACATCTCAGTAAAAATTGTAATGAATACTCTCCCTCCCTTTTCCTGTACCTACCATGAAGTCCTTCATGCACTCACCTAGGACTTATTCTGCTGACTTTGCTACTTACAAAAGGCTCCACTTCTTATGCCAGTACCTGAAGAATGCCTTTCTTTAGACAGAGCCACCTGGCAGAGCAGGGAGCTGGCAAGGACGTGGTGGGTGCCCCTCTCTATCTACACCCACTTACTGTTATCTTCTGCATTCTCTTGTGCCTACATGTATCTACATGTATTCCTGCCTGAATGAAAAGCTGATGTGACTATGAATGAGGTCTGTAAGTACTTAAAGCCATTTCTGAGTTTTAAAACTCAATTCTGGACTAAAGGTCACTCATTTTATTGCATTTACTGTGGTCATGTTAAGAAACTGTGGCAAGGGACCAAACTAGAACTACAACCCTATAGTCTACAAGTGTTGGTCGTGGTGGTGGCAGCAGCAGGGGTGGTGGTGTGTGTTGTTATGCATGTAAAAATTTTTGATGAGTTACTATTTTTATTTACATGCATTTGTGTTTTATCTACAAATATGTCTGTGTGAGGGTGTTGGATTCCCTAGCACTGGAGTTACAGATAGTTGTGAGCTGGCGTGTGGGTGCTGTTATGATATGTTACAGGGGGACCCCTGAGAGTGCAGGGTGCACGTGCAGGGAAACATGCTGGGCAGATGCAACAGAGACAGCAGCTCATGGAAAGTCATTCACACCCAGGGCTGCATTCGTGTGGAAATGGTTTATTATAATAGGAGATAAAAAAGACAGAAAGGAGAGAGAGAGAGAGAGAGAGAGAGAGAGAGAGAGAGAGAGAGAGAGAGAGAGAGGTGCGCGCACCTCATGGCAGGAAGGAAGACAGCAGAAGAGAGGAGGGGGAAGGGACAGAGTTTTTCCTTAAAATGAGGCTTTTACGTCAGGATGCAAGGCGGTGCCAAGGGAGTGGAATTTCAAGGGATGGGTCAGAATATTAATAGGTGCTAGGAATTGAACCTGGGTCCTTTGGATGAACAGCCAGTGCTCTTAACCACTGAGCCATCTCTCCAGCCTCAAAATTTTACTGAATGCTTATGAATAGCCAGCATACATTTGGACCACTTCTGTTAGGTGCTAGTGACAGATGAAACTACACCTTTCAAGTTTCTGTTTCCCATGAGAGATAAGTAGCTTGATGGGGAGGGTGTTCAGGTGCAGTGGATTGTAGGAGAGGGAGCCCAGTTGAAGGCAGACCTCACAGGGGAGTCAGGGTTTTGAGAGAAGCTCTAGAGGATGGGTGAAGTTTGTTTAAGCAATCAGGTATTGGGGACAACATTGACAGGACAGGACAAGACAGCAGCATATTCCCTGGCAGCCAGGAGTCTCTACGTTGACCTGAGGCACACAAGAAGAGAATGAAGGTGCACAGTTGGGGTGGGTTAGATCAGGAAGGCATCTGTGCCCTCTTTTCCTACCATAAACAACCAGGAACTATCAGAAATATTCAGGCTGGAGAAGGACATGGCCAAATGTATCAGGCATCAATTCTAAGGCATATTGCTAAAAATAACATAAATCAAAGGAAAGTAGGATTCTTTCTTCATTATTTAAAAAAATGATAATAAAACTCTTTTCTCAGATTTGGGCAGAAATCTCTGCTTTTCCCTATGGAGATGCAGCTCTGTCTTCTCCTTTGTGGTTTTGTGTGAGGGCCTGAGTGCCTTCCTATGCTGATATTGCAAACTGACCAGCTGGCTCTTCTCTCTCTCTCTCTCTCTCTCTCTCTCTCTCTCTCTCTCTCTCTCTCTCTCTGTGTGTGTGTGTGTGTGTGTGTGTGTGTGTGTGTGTGTGTGTGTGTGTGTGTGTTGGGGGGGGTGTCATGCTCACATGTCAGGCTGATGAATGACCTCTTTACTGCCCGACTGACCTCTGCATCACTGTCTTCCTGACTGGGTAACCCCCAGCTCTCTGGATTGAACCATCATGTATGGCAATCCGTAGGCCCCCTCAGGAGCAGAGTACTTTGCTCTAAATCATGTGTCAGGAGCACCAAGGGGCTGCCACTTAGTGGAACATTAGAAACAGTTTTAGTATTTTGAGCTTTGACCCAAGTCCACCGCGATCACTCAGAAGTTGGGTCTTTTCTTCTGCCTTTGTTCCTTTTCATTCCTTCCCTTTTCCTCCTTTGGTGGGTTTCATCTAATTTGTTTCCTTTTTAGTTTTTTTGGGGGGGGGAATATTTGGGTTGCATAGTGACTATTTCTGCCTATTTGGACTTTTTGTCTTAATACATCTCAAGTGTTTAGTAAGGTTGGTTGGTCCAGCCAGCTCTAGACTAGAATTCAGTAACCCTGTGTCAGGACAGGCATACTTGGAATTCTCCACACATCTGCAAGGCCCCACACCATTCTCTACAAAGGGCCATCAGGATTATTTCTGGCAATTTGGTATAAGATTCAAAGGGGATGGGTGAAAAGAACAAACCAGAAGGAAGAATACAGCTGCAGAGAACGAGGAGACTGTAGACATGCAGGAAGTAAAGGGAAGGCAAGCAGGAGTCTAGGGTGGAAAGGTCTAGGGGTGGGAAGGAGGAGGTGAGCTGGAACTAAATAGATGATGTCATAGCAAAAGATGATGAAAGCACAAGACAGCAGAGAATTTTTTCATTTTATTGAAAATAGGTTCTTTTTTCATACAATAGATCCTGATGGTAGTTTCCCCTCCCTCTTCTCTCCTAGTTCCCCTGTACCTCCCTTCCCCAGCCCCCAGATCTACTCCCTTTATATCTCTCATTACAAAAGAACAGGCTTCTGAGAGATAACAACCAAACATGACAAAATAAAATACAACCAGATAAAACAAAAATCATCACATAGAAGTTGGATAAAGCAAATCAACAGGAAGAAAGGAGTCTAAAAAGCAGGCACAGGAATCAGAGACCCACTTGTTCTCACACTCAGGAGTCCCATAAAAATACTAAGCTTAAAAGCTATAATATATACACAAAGGACCTGGTGCAGACCTGTGCAGACCCATGCAAGCCCTGTGCTTGCTGCTTCAGTCTCTGTGAGTTCATGTGCATCTTGCTTAGATCATTCAGAGGGTCTTGTTTTCCTGGTGTCCTCCATCCTCTCTTTCCAACTCCTCTTCTGTGGAGTTCCCTGAGCACTGAGCAGAGGGATTTGATGGAGACATCCCATTTAGACTCTGTCTCCTCATAGTGTCTGGCTGTGGGTCTCTGCAACTGTTCCCACTGCTGCAGGAGGAAGCTTCTCTGATGACGATGATGGAATAAGGCACTGATCTATGAGTATAGCGGAATATCATTAGGGATTTATTGATTTTTTTTAAGACCAGTAGTGTTTTGTTTTACCATAGGTCTCTAGGCTTTCTAGTCTCTGGTTCTTGGTTACCAAAACAGTGTCAGGTATGTGTTCTGTCTCCTAGAGTGGGCTTTAAGTCAAATCAGACATTGCTTGGCTGCTCCCACAAGTTCTGTGCCACCATTTCCCCAGCATATCTTGCAGGCAGGACAGATTATAGGTCAAAGGTTTTGTGTCTGAGTTGGTGTTTGCATTTCTCTTTTAGTAGCCTGAAGAGTGCCTTCCTGCACCAAAGACACTAGAACATAGGGGTGAAGGCTCCATGTAGGCACCAGCTGGACTTCTCCATGTTCAATGAGTTGTGTGGGTGTTGCCCTCTGCAATGGGGCCCTGCTGTCCATTTGCAGAGAGCATCCCATTGTCTTAGTAACAGCCTGGGTTGTTTGGGACCCCATTGGCCAACAGCCCAACCGAATGTAACCCAGTTTCACTGCTTACTGGAAGCCTCAATGGGTGACAAGAGGTGACCCATTGGGACTGTGTATCCCCTATTATTAGGAGACCTCATTAGATTCACCTTCATATATTTTAGGAAGTTTCCACTGCACTAGGTTTTCATATCATAATTGAAGCTCTAAGAAAGGGTCCTTGGCCTAGAATTCATAATTTTCCTGCCTCAGACCCTCAGTTGCTAGGGTTAGCAGAAATAGATTTTCTTAGTGACTTTTTTTTTTGCCATGCTGTGGCTCAAATTCAGGGCCTTGAGCATGTTAGGCAAATCGTTCCTCCATTGAGATGAACTTCTAACCCCTAGTACACCATTTTTTAAAGAAGATTTATTTTTCTTTTCATTTGCGCGTGCACGCATGAGAGAGAGAGAGAGAGAGAGAGAGAGAGAGAGAGAGAGAGAGAGAGAGAGAGAGCCAGTTAGTTAGACAGACATATATATGTGCAGGTGCCTGAAGAGGCCATCATATTCCCCTGGAGCTGGAGTTAACAGGCCATTGTGAACTGTCTGACATGGGTCCTCAAAAATGGTCTCTCAGGTCCTCTGCAAAAGTAGCAAGTGCTCCTAACTGCTGAGCCATCTCTCCAACTCCCCTTCCCTAGTATACCTTTTGACACTTAGATTTTCTTTCTGGAAAGAGGTGCAGACTATGCATAAGATTTGACTTCGGCTTATAATAATTGCTAGGAAATCAGTCGCAAAGACATTTTCAGCTGCCCGGAGGACAGGAGCTGGGTGCTCCTTTGCTTCCTTCCGTCCCTCCTGCTCTGTGCCCTGTACAACTTTGGTCAGTTAACTAAAAGACCAGTGGCAACTGCAAGCGACTCTGGTTTACCAAGTAAAATGCTTGGGCATTTTCTACCACCTCTAGGGAGTGGAAAGAGTGTTCTCTAAGCTTTTTTCCCTAAATAGTGGAACAACTTAAAATAGCCATGTATCTATCGACTTTTATTTATGACATTTTTGTTTTTAATTAATAATTTGGTTTAAAGGCTGTATTCTGATGAACCATCAGTTTAGTGCAGCCTGGTCCATATAGAACTGGTGCCCACTGGAGAAATCACCAGTGAAAGCTCTGAGTCATCTTTGGACAGTGGACAGTTGGCTTTCCAGGACATCCCACCAACTGACAGTGGTGCTGTGTGTTTACTGTCTATTGGGGCACACATGGCCTATACTCAGCTAGGGAGTGCTATGGGGTATCCCTTTGGATTAGCCAGTGTTATACAAGATCATTTTAGATTTGGGAGATAGTACTTCCAGACCCAGAGCAGAAGACATATACAATTCCATATCCTCCCTTTGGCTGAGTTAGCCTTTAGAATCTGGGTTGTGTTAGCACCTGAATTAAACCACAGCCCTCCCCATGGGGCAGTAGTACACCCATCTCCTACTCACCCATCCTACTGCTCCCCAGGCTCAGCCCAGGGGTGTTGCTGTTTACCAGTTGGCTGGTGGCTGCCCTTTGAATCATGTCCTGGATTTCTTAAGCCACATGCCAGCTTCCTTGTCTCTGATTGTAAGGCTCCAGATTCCAGCTCTGAAGAAACAGAATTAAAAGCTTTTCAGACCAAAAAGAAAAAGGTCTTCAAAGCTGCCAGCAGTGGCTTGGGATTACCTCCACTTGGGTCCAAAACCCCAGCAGTGCTCCATGAAGTTCCTCTCCTTTGTGCTTCAGGCTCCTCCCTAGCTCAGACCTGGATACTGAGGAACAAGAATAACAGAGAGCAGCTTCTGGGACTCACATTCCTGCCACAACCCAGTTCCTGCTATTAGGTCTAGCCAGGAGTGGGAGGGGGGGTTGAAATTTGTAGGTGTTCCAGTTCGCATTCACAGGGGCTCTGAATTGGGGCAGCAGCCTGGCTGATGGGCACCAGCCTTTTGGACTTGCACATGTCAGTTGTATCCTACACATCCTGTTCGGGTTGCTCTTCTGCCATCTGGAAGCCATTAGCAATGGAATGGTTTCAAGTGCTTGCTGAGCCCTGGTTTTCCAGGCACTGCCAGGTCTCAGCAGCCAAGTGCCTTTCAGTTTTTATAGGATTTCCAGTTAAGGCCCAGCAAAGCTCTGTCCTCTGGACCCCAACCCAGTGCTCTTCTCTTATTGGACCCAAGAGCAATGACATGTGCATGGAGACACTGGCACCTGTCCTTGATCCATGTCTTATCCACTTTATGGGTTTGAAGGGAAGTCACAACTTGAAAGCTACTCTGTGAAGGTACCCTTGTGTCCTCTGCTGTATGCATGTAGGACTGTGAATTAGCCTGTGGAAGGCGGAGAGGACTGATGCTTTTGGATCTCTAAATTCATTGCAATGAGCATGTCATCACCTTAGCTACACGCTGTACCTGACATTGCTGTGTCCTTGCTGCATGTCTTCCCCTGGTCCTTACGGGAAGTAACCCTTCAGATGCAGGCACTGCAGCTTCTAAAGGAGGTTCTGAGTTCTAACTGAGGTCTTTGTAATTCCAGACCTCTTTCTGCTCTCCAAACCCATGTCTGTATTGAAACCTGGGTAGGGTAGACAACCCAGGAGAACAGAGGAGCAGCCAAGGAAATGGCATTTGCATGCTAGATAGCACAGCCTGCTTTTTTTCTTTCTTTCTGTCTTTCCTTCCTTCCTTCTTTCTTCTTCTTCTTTTTTTTTTTTTGTTTTTAGAAGCAAAATGATCATTTTGAAAGGAAACTCACGCAGTCTGTCAGCTTCTTGCCAACTCTTACTACAGTGCAACTGGCCAAAAACAGCCAAACCTTGTTTGGGGCATGAAAGCAGCTGTTATAATAACCCCTGCTCTGCCTCTTTCCTGTTATGATGGAATGACTGTTTCAAGTAAATGTCTCCAATCCACAGATTTTCTGGGGTCAAGAAAACACTTTTTTAATTGGCAGGCTTGATCAGATTTTTTTTTTACCAAGTTAGGAGGTAAACGGAATGGCTCCGTCATTTCAGATTCATGCATGTCTATCAGTGCTGGCTCCATCCTGGGCACCTGAACTCCCACCTCCCACTCCTTTGGCTGGACCTGCCCCTATTCTGTTCCAGGGCTTGCAGCGAAGAGTCAGGAGAATGAGAACACAGATCATGGAATCAGATCTGGGTTGGGATCCTGGCACTACCAACCTTGAGTGTGGACTCTCATACAACTTACTCTGGGCCTCAGTCTCCTAATCTATCAGATGGATGGAGTAATAACTACCCATTGGGCTTAACACAAAGTTTAAAACAAAATCAAAATAAGAAGAAACATTACAAGTCGGAAAGATGGATTAGTAATTGAGAGAGCCTGATGCTCTTCCAGAGGACCCCACTGAGTACCAGCACCCATGCTAGGCTGACCACAACTGCCTGTGTCCTCAGTCCCAGGAAATCTGAAGCCCTCTTTTTGCTTCCATGGGCACCCCTAACCCCAGCATACACACATACAAGTAAATATATAAATAAGTAAGTGAAGAAGAAACATCCACGGTACTTAGGGAGATCTTGTGCTTTGTTTTTGATTGGGGATTTTATATATATATATAAACTCTTTTAATCCTCTCAACAGCCCTGTGAGATGGAAACTTTCTAACTACACACTAAGTTCTCTCTAGTTGTACATGAGTGAGCACACACCAGGAATCCCTGACTATACAGACCTTCTGCTGTCAGGGAGACTAATAGATAAAATAGCCAGTATGTTAAATAGAGGTAAGAGCTATGGAGAAAACTAATATGGGAGCGGAAGATGGAAAACAGTCAATAGGGCTGCTACCTTCAAAAGAGTAACCAGGGAATGCCTGTCTGAGAAGTTGTCATTGGAAGAAAACCTGAAAAAAAAAAAAAGCTGGGGCGGAACTGTATATAGTTCCTACCTAGGAGATGTATAGGAACTAAAAGAGCACATAGATGCAAGGGTCCCATGGTCACTGGCCTGGTGTGTTCAAGGTGCAGCAAGGAAGCTGATATGGCTGGAATGGAAGGGCTGAGCAGATGAGATCAGGATTGTGGCAGACAGTTCAGAGCCTTCTAGACCTCAGCCTTTTCTCTCTGTGATGAGAAGGTCCTGGAAAGAGGGACACAATCCAGAGAATGCCAGATGTGAGAAGAGAGACTACTTACTCATTTGGTCAATACAGCTGCTGTTCCTGCTGTTGGTTCCCACAAGAATGGTTGCCAACTCTTTGAGATGATTTAAGTAGGACATCTCTTAAGGGACCATCTGGACCTCCACTAGCAAATTATACTTTCTGATTTTGACAACAGATAGACTTTCCCCAATTTCTGCTCTCTATCTAGACTCTTCCCTTTCTTTGCCTAGTTCTATCCTTGACTGCAGCTCTGGGCTGGATAGTTTCTGTAGTGCTCCTTAACTGGCATTGTAGGTAATATGGTGTACACCTGCCATGCCTAAGGTACTGCTGTTTTGATCTAGTTACTGGTACCAGGGACTCACAGATATGTATTACTTAGGCCAAGCAATTGTGAGAAAGAAAGGAGGGCGGAGGAGATGCTTATAAATGGAATTACCCCTGACTGTGAGATGTCAAGAGTGTCAGTGCAACCATCAAATCTGAGACCTGTAAATATTGATGAGAAAAAATGTGGATATTCCCCCAACTTCCATGAGAAGTCAGTTCTCACCCTTGAGTCTTGGGTGGCTTCTGGCACCTATGAATGTTCTGAAATTGAATCTAAATGTATATGTGTGGGTATTTTTCTAAGATGAGGTCCTAGCTACCATGTGATTAGTGTTTTAGATTACTTTAGTCACAGTCAGTCACAGGCTGTACTTGTAATGTCAGATACGCTAGCAAGTTAGCTTCCGTTCAAAGCTAGGGGAAGGTGCTAGTTTGAAAATGGAGTTTAAAGAGATCATTCAGTTGCCTAACATTGAGCAGTCATGATCTCCAAATATTGTGTATAGTATTCCCAAGATAGATACTTCTAAAGTTATACAGTGTATGTTTGCAGATGCCAATGTGTGTACTGTCACGCAGGGTCTGTGTAGCCTCTTTGATCAGTGGCTGTAAGTCACTAAGAATCCACCCTCTGTGTTACACTCTTCATTGCCTTTGAAACACCTCCCCCCAATTCCTGTGGTTCACAGGAACACATATGAGCCAAGTGGTTTCAGACAATAACCTAGGCCTTAAGTATTTAGAATCCCCAACCCTCCCGGACCCCATGGCCCACATGCAAGAGGCATTCCAAGTTCTAAGGAGGACCAGAGAAAAATTTAACAGGAACATCCAAAAACCTCATAGCAACACCATGTACAAAAATTTATGCCAAACACCTCTCTTCTAAAAACCTGAAATCCTAAATACTCCCAATTCTGAAACTTTGAGCATTGACTTGATGCCGCAAGCAGGACATTCCACATCTAACCTCATGTACTGAGCCCAAACACAGATGTGCTAAAAAACAGTGTAGGAAAGTATATAAATGAGTTTTGTATTTAGACGGGACATATCCCTAATATATCTCATTAAATATATGCAGATAGTTCAAAATCTGAAAAGGAAAATTGAAATACTTCTGATTTCAAGCCTTTCAGATAAGCAGTGATCAACCTGTGTGTTGGCACATGTTGGCATCTTGTGGTAGGGGTCGCAATAACCCATTCTACTGAGGTTCAGATAAGCCTCCAAGGGGCTACTCATCTGGAGTTACAGACATCAACAGAAGGATTTTCTGAGAATGACTGGTCCCATGCCCTGGAATGCAAACCACACACAGTTGCAGTGCATAATTATATACAGTAAACTATAATGGATGCACAGTGGGCCTCTATATCAGGTTCCCTTAAAGAACTGGCAGAAACTCGTCATTAGTGTAGCCAGGAACTACCTCTGTTCCTGTCCAGTCAGGTCCCTAGTACCTACACTAGTCTGCAGATGTCTGCTCTTCACATCAGAGGCAGAAGCAAGGGTCGGGGTGTCACATCATGTCCCTGACATTGAGAATCTGTCATCGAGTGGAGGTGAAGAGTATGAACATCAAGAACATTAAACACAGCTTGTATTTGATAAGTAGCATGGGCTCGGATGACAAGTATGGCATAAGAATTTGTATTTATTCAAGTGTACAAAAATTTCTCATTTTTCATCAAAATGGAAACTTAAAGTGAGGGAAACTGTGCATGCTCTCCTCCGAGGAGAGCTACTGGGGCAGTTCCTCTCCAGTTTGTGGAGCAGCATGTTACTGCAGCGTCACAACACTAAATGTCCCCAAGCCAAAAAATTCTAGGTATGTTCTTGAATCAGCAAATGCTGTGTTTTGGATGGGTTATATTATCCAGTGTCAGTAAATAGCCTTTCAGGAACACCCTCCAACATGTTACCTCCACTTCACCAATTTAGAAGGTTTAGATGATCTATTCCTAGCTTTGGCTAAGTGAATTCCAGATGGTGGTGAGTGACTTAATAGAAACAAATGCAATTAAAGTTATTGTACAATACAGTATACTACAACAGTAATTAAGGACATCAGGACTGGGAGTGTGGCTTAGTGGTTGAATTTTTACCTAGCATATCTGAAGTCCGGGTGTGGTGGTATCGTGTTCCCCAAAATATTGTGCACCCTAATAAATTTATCTGGGGTCAGAAAACAGACAGCCACTAGATACAGAGGCTAGAAAATGGTGGCACTCATGCCTTTAATCCTAGCATTCCAGAGACAGAAATCCCTCTGGATCTCTGTGAGTTCAAGGCCACATTGGAAACAGCCAGGCATGGTGACACACGCCTTTAATCCCAAGAAGTGAGTCTTTAATCCCAGGGAGTGATGGCAGAAAGGCAAGATATATAAGGCGTGAAGACCAGGAACTAGAAGCATTTGGCTGGTTAAGCGTTCAGGCTTTCGAGCAGCAGATCAGCTGAGATCCATTGGGATGAGGACACAGAAGCTTCCAGTCTGAGGAAACAAGACCAGCTGAGAAATTGGCCAGGTGAGGTTAGCTGTGGCTTGTTCTGTCTCTCTGATCTTCCAGTGTTCAACCCAATACCTGGCTCAAGTTTGATTTTATTAATAAGAACTTTTAAGATTCCTGCTACACCTTGGGTGGGGGTGACCCCCTGTACTGCCAATAAGTAAATGAGTAAATGAATTGGTTGATGGCATCTGTTTGGTTTCTTCATTCATTGTTTTTTCTGGGTGTTTGTTTTTGAAGGCAAGTGAAGGCAACTGTAGGTGACTTGGGACATGCCTTTTCCATAAATGAATACTGTTGTGTCCAAACTCAGCTCCTCTGAATAGAAACACAAACAGAACGGCACTGTGTAAGGCTTCTAACAGGTAGTACCTGGCTGAGAGGACAGTGAGAGAGGAAATCTACCCTATTGGCCAACCAGGTGTAATAGATATAAAATCTTGGTGTTGAGCTGGGACTTCAGCTCAGTGGTGGAGCACTTGCCCAACACACACAAGGCACACACACACACACACACACACACACAGAGAGAGAGAGAGAGAGAGAGAGAGAGAGAGAGAGAGAGAGAGAGAGAGAGAGAGAGAGAGAGATGACTATGGGCGCATTTCTTTCCTTTCCTCTTTACTCTCTAAAACTGGCTCAAAAATTGCAGGCATCATTTCTAGGTGCCAGTGAGCAAAATATAGATCCTTGGCTTCTTAGGATAAAAGTTACTGATGGAGACTAGGGAGAATGCTCAGTGGATAAAGTGCTTGTTACACAAGATGAGGACCTAAAGTCCAATCTCCAGAACCCTTGTAAAAGCTGCACATCAATGGCATGTGTCTGCACTGAAGGCGCCATGGTGAGGGAGACAGGAAGATCCTGGGGCTTGCTAGCCAAGCAGTACAACCAAGTTGATAAGTGCCAAGTGAGAAGTCTGTCTCAGAAAATGAAACAGGGTGGTGGTGGTGCATGCCTTTAATTCCAGCACTCAGGAGGCAGATGCAGATGGATCTCTGTGAGTTCGAGGCCAGCTTGGCCTACAGAGTGAGTTCCTGGACAGCCAGGGCTACCCAGAGAAACCCTGTCTTGGAAAACCAAACAATAATAAACAGGCAGTTAAGAGTACTTGCTGATCTTCCAAAGGCCTAGAGTTGAGTTCCCAGTGGCTCACACCAGTAACTGTCTCCAGGTTATCCAACACCCTCTTCTAGCCTCTGTGGGCACTGCTTATATGTGGTACACAGACAAGCAGGCACATACATATATACATAAATAAAATATTTAAAGTATTAAAACTGAAGAATGACAGGGAGACACACAACATTGACCTCTGCATGTCCATACCCACACATGTGTACCTATACACATGTGTAACACCAAAAAGTGAATAGATGTATGAATTAATGAATGATAGATTGTTAGCAGCTAGTGGAAATATTCCAGAGTTTCTGTGATCCTGTTTCTCTTTCTTGTTGTCACAGCTCTCCTTTACTCCTATTCTGTCTAGATAATCACAACACTGCTCTCTTCCCAAAGAAACATTTTAGTCTCTACTCTGCAGCCTCTTTCATCTTCTTCTGGACCCATATAGCAGAAGGAGCCCTCCCTAAACAAAGGGCCCCCAGAGCCTGGCTTTCCCAGGAGTGCCTGGATAAACATTTCTCCTAAATGATTTGTGCCCAGCTATGCTGTGCTCCTAGGAAGTAAGCAAGAGTGGAAGGAGGTCTTCCCCCAAGCTCACAGCCACAAAGTTCAACTTGTATGTATTAGTCCTGCAACTAAAACGTAGTGAATGTGTGATCACACAGTAGGTCCAGTGGACCATAGTAAATTAGCACTTGAATTTTATAAGCAATGTCATAGTAACAGTGGTGAGTGGGGTTTTCCCTCCAACTGTAATGTATGGCTTTCACTACGTGGTTGTTTATTGAGTGCTGTCCTCCCCCTCCCGTGTCTGTGTTGGAGGTGACAGATAGCTACAGGACAACCAATGGGTTGTATTTCTACATGCTGGTTGTCTTGACCAGCTTTGTCACTCCAACACAACTGCCTTCCAAATGGAAGGAACATTGCATGGGAGCAAGAGCTGTAAAGTCCAGGCTTAACTTTAGCCCTCGCCTAAGAATAGAAACGTTGGGAATTACTGA